TGGCAGCAGCATTTGGTTCTGAGCGATCGTCAAGGCGTTCTCCGGTGCTAGCGCCAGGGAGGACAAGAACAGCGCCGCTTGAGTGAAACTTGCTGTGAAACCGTAGATCCCTTCAACGAGCGGGTCTGTAATGCCGATGCCACCCAGCGTTGTGGGCAGCGACGCCTGCTCCCACACACGTGCTTGCTCAGTGCGGCAATTTGGCATGCGGATGTCGCAGGAGGTGAGTAAGGTGGTGAGCAGGTCCCGACCCCACTGGCTCCAGGTGTCGCGGGGGAGTAGGTGGAGTGGTGTCGTTCTAATGAGGTAGGCTACTCGTCTAGAAATGCATCGCGTGAGTAGCAGCGCGGCTACTTGGGCGTCAGCTCGTTCTATTAGTGGCAGAGGCTTTGTCATCTCGGCTAGCTGTTCGGTTAGGAACTTAGCTGTTCCGGCGTCCGTCCCCACGTAGCTACCAAGGAGCCGTACCCCGTCCTTTGAAACCGGAACCCCGGGTGGGATTTGTGCTTGTGTGACTGTGATCGAGCTCCAGGCCGCACATTTCTGCGGATTATGCGTCAGGCCCAGGCGTGCCAGCTTGGCTGTGAAGTCTGTGAAAGCTGCTACAGTGCACGAAGTGTCACCCAGGAAGGTGACATCGTCCGCATATGCCAAGCAGAGCACGTTGGGGTGTGCCTCTGTAATCTCACGGAGCGTGGAGTGTATTCCTGCTGCAAACAGTAACGGGCCTAGTGGATCACCCTGCCGAACGCCCCGTTCACTTTGCAGTGGTTCGTAGTTGAAATCAATGTCGATGAACAGCTGCGACGGGTTACCGTAAGTCAGTTTTACAAATGGCTGTAGTGGCGAGAGTCCGGGCTCCTGTAACGCTGTGGCGATGGCACGTCGCGAAATGCTGTTGAATGCATTCGATATATCGGCTTGCAGGACTAGGCTGTTAGGACGGGCATCCAAGAATGCCCTGGCTGCGTGTATTACTGCCTCTGCTCCACCTGGCACTGCCACGCCGTACTGAATTGGCAGGAAATGTTCGCGGGCAGCTTCTCTCATGGCTATCAGGGCTGCCTTGGCTGTCAGCCTTGTCAAACATTCGCCTATCGCAATTGGCCGGGCTCCTCCCCTAGGCTTGGCCAGAGCTATGAGCCGTGACGCGGTCAGGATTTTTGCGACCGGGCCTGGCAAATTCCCTCCGAGAATGGTATTGACCAAGGCGTGCAGATGGGTGCTAACCATTCCGTTGGTGATCGCCGCGTCACGTAGGTGCTCAAATGTCGTACCTGAAGGTCCGGCCCCCACCCCGTTCTTGCACCTTCCAAGAATCTTGGCGAACTCAGCATGGGTGATGGAAAGTTTTGACTCTGGTGGCTCGGGCCAGGTCACTGCTTCGGGTACTGCTGGCGGGTGCTTCCCTAGTCTCTCTCTTTCTCTCTCTCTCTCAAGCAGTCATGTATTGACATGGTTCGCAAGGTACAAGCAAGGAGCTACCACTTGGTCTAAACGTGCAAGCAATCGTGAGTCCAACATAGCAAGACCAGCAAGCTAGCAAACGAACAACTAGCAAAACACAGAGAACCAACTCTCCAGATGTTGAAACAGGCCACCACACACTAGGACGAACGAGCCAGCCAGTACCAAGGCCACCAAACCCTGTCCCTACAGTCCTCCTGCTTCTGGACTCCCCCTACTGATCCTGCCTCTCTGTCCACAGTCCCTTTCCCCAAACGCAGCTTCCTGCCGTCGTCCGGCTAACACCTCCCCCACTCCCACTCCCTCCCCGCCCTCTAAGCCGCTCTGGCAGGGGCTTGGCGCTCCTCGTACTCATCCTCTTGCATTTGCCAGAGGTCCCCCAGCCGGGGGGCCCAGGGGTCTGCCGGCGCCTGTGGGAATGCCGCCTCAGCCGCCCTGTTCGACTTAGATAGGAGTGAAGTCGCCTGGCTGCGCTGAAGCATGACCGACCACCGCTGCCTGTAGTGTGCATTAAGGCGGGCGGCAGTGGTGGTGAGCCGCCCCTGGCGGTATTTCTTCCGTGCCGCATAGTTGGCTAGCATACGGAGGAACTGCTGGGTGTCAGCCGCCAGGGCCCCATAGGTCTCAACTGCCAAACCAAAGAAGCCAACGTATCCAGGGCGCCCTACGTAGAGCCGATGTTTTGTCTGCGACGCCTCCTCCGCTGCCCATCCTGGCGGCTTCCGTGCCCTCACATCCCTCCTCTGCAGGACCGGGTCCATGACTGTCACGTCTGTCGCCCAGGTCTCCCCTGATTCCGGGTCCCGAACGGCGAGGTCCGCTCGCTTACTCGCTACAGGGGGAGAGAAGGCAGTCGTCTCGTGGAAGGTCCTATACCCTGCTTCCTGCGCCATGCGGAGGGCTGCAAAAACCAGGGCGTCGTGGGTGCGCACCGCATCCCCGCCGTCGGCACAACGGAGCAGATGGTTCGGCAGACTCTTGTCAGCAATAGAGGAGTTGGATCTCCTGCAGGGGCAAACCTCCGCTACCGGTAACTCCATGCCAAGGCGCAGGCCCAATGCCATGGAGAACTGACCAGGGGAGATTGAGAGGTCAGCCCTCGTTGGCACTGCATGGAGCCAGTCACCTGCTCCCACTCCTTTCAAGCTAATTAGCCGAATTGCATGGCCCCTGTCCACCCCCGGCCTATCTGTGACCGTATCTGCCAGCAGCTCTTCCGCCCGCGTGTGGTTAATGGCCTTAGACAGGCCCAGCTGCATGTTGCCCATGCCTTTCGGGTTCTCCCTATAGCTGCGGAGGACTGCTGCAGCCTGTGCTGGGAGCCTGGCCTCAAGCGGTGCCAGCGGGTTGACCCGGGGGGGCGGTGGGGCCCATGTCGGGGAGAGGAGATTCCCGGCCTTGTGAAGAAGGTAATCTGGCGGTAGGTTCAGCTGCTGCAGGAGAAGGTGCGCCGCTGCAGTTGAGGCTAGGTACGCTGCTGGGGCTTCGGAGATGGGGTCAATGATTCCCAAACCTCCTAGCCGCACCGGGAGCGTGGCCTGGCGCCACAACAGACTCTGCTCCAGCTCACTTGGCGGGATCCGAAGCTTTGACGCCGCGAGCCCGGCTCCTACCAGTGCCTCGCTCCACTCCCGCCACTCCGTACGGGCCAGTGCATCCGCTGGTGTTGTGCGTAAAAGGTACGAGATGCGGCGGGAGATGCTCCGAGATAGCATGAGTAAGGCGTGCTGCGGGTTGAGCTGGGCGACGAGATGTAGCGGCGCCGCCGCCTCCGCTAGCGTCCCGCGGACCTGGTCGGTGCAGAAGGCGTCGCCGCCAACCGGGCTGCCCAACACCTTCAAGCCGCCTGGGTGGACAGGAAGACCGTGTGGCTGACCATCCCCTCCTTCCTCCCACAAAGCCCACCACGCCGCGGACTTGGTAAGGTTGCAACGTAATCCGCATGAAGCCAGCTCCGTGACTACTATGTTAAAAGCCACGCACGCCGCCTCGCGAGGCCCGACGATGGTGATGTCGTCGGCATACGCTACTATTGCCACCTCCGGTATGCTCGTGGCCACGCTGAGTAGTATCGGCTGGATCGCTGCCGCAAAAAGGAGAGGCCCCAGCGGATCCCCTTGGCGAACACCTCTGGAGCTTACGATGTGCTCCACTTCTAGACGGGGGTCCACAAGAAGCCGCGAGGAGCCATCGTAGAGGTTCCTGACAAGCGGGAGCAGCGTGTTGAGAGTAGACCACTGGAGGGCGGAGAGGAATGACGCGCGTTCTACACTGTTAAATGCGTTTTCCACATCGAGCTGTAGAGCTACGCGGGTCTCGTCGTCCTTAAGGAGAGAACGAACCGCGTGGATAATACACCCCGCTCCCCCAGGAACCGCCACGCCGAACTGTACGGGTAGGAAAAATTCCTGGATTTTCGGGCCCAAACTGTGCAGCGCCGCTTTAGCCACCATGCGGAGCAACGCCTTGCCTATTGCGATTGGTCTAACTCCTCCCCCAGGCTTTTCCAAGGCTATGAGCCGAGAGGGGAGTAGGAGGTCGCGGACTGATTGACTCTGGAAAGAGCCGGCGAGGCGATTTACCACGTTCGTCAGCAACAGGAGGATCTCCTCGTTCGCTAGGGCTGGGTCTCGTAGGTGTTCAAAACAGCTGCCTGAGGGCCCTGCCCCTACCCCATTCGGGCATTTTGCGAGGATTTCGCGCAGAGCCTCGAGTGGGATACGGAGCTCAGAGTCAGTGATCCCGGTAACCCATGCTGGTGTTGGGGCGCTTGACGGCGGGTGTTTCGCCCGTAGGGCAGCCAGGGTCGCAGAGCTTGGGTCGGCGAGGGGGCTTGTGCGTAACGCCGCAACCGCCTTCGAAATGTTACCTTTTTTAACCAAACCCTCCGCTCTTGCGCAAACCCCTTCGTCATCGTCTTGATGCCTTAGCGGACCCCCCGTGTCGGGGATAGTGCAGGCTGCCTCGAACAACCCATCCCACTCTCCCAACTGGAACTGATGTAACCGAGCCTCAATCGCTGCCCACCGACTTCCAGTGACAGGCTCTGGTGGGGGGCGAAGTGTCAGCCTCGGGAGGTATAGTAGGACCGCCCAAGCACGTGGGCATTCTGGGTTCGTCGACAGCCGCAGGAGAGGTGCGAGGAGACACAAACAGAATTTGTCCAGCACTTGGGGTGGTAAGCGTTTGACTAGGAAGGGTTGGTCCATCCGTTGAAGGAGATCCATAGTCCACGTGCCCGCCATTTGCCAGATGGCGTCATCCTCTGCCAGGGTGGCCGGTGATTTCACTTCGTTGGTTACCGTGGGAGCTGGCACAGATACCCCTTCAGCCTGGGATGTCGCCCTGGCCACTCCCTCTCCCGTCCCTCGCACTCGATTCCGGCCTCTTCCCAAATCCTCCTCGTTAACCAGAGACACCTCTTCGGACTCCGGGCCCGCCTCCTCTCCACACATAAACTCAGGGTCCCCCATGTCCTCAGCAGACTCAGCATCGACCCCATTGGCTGGGGCTTCCAAAACCTCTGGGCGGTTATGGCGTTCCCGCCAAGGGCCTGTTCGTGCCTGGATCTCCGCTCCCCCCAAGCGAGCAACACCCCCGCGCCTTCCCCCTCGCCTCCCGCGACCCATACCGCGGAAACCCCGGTCCGCCGCCAGCGCTGGCTGAGGCGTCGCCGCTAGTCCCGCTCTCCCCGCCGGCATCCTCGGCATTCTGCCTCCCCTTGGTGGGCCCCACGTGACAGCACCCAAACGAGCTGAGCGACGAGTGGCGACGGCCGCCGCAGTTGGAGCTACTGGGCTTGACGGTGAGTGCGTGTGTGCTCCGCTGTCCTGGTTTGGCGCCGGCTGCTCTGCCACACGGGTTGCTGTTGCCTCTGTTGTCGCCTCATTGAGCCCAGAAACCCCCCGTGCCTCTTGCGTGTGCGCAGATGACGACCGATGCACTCGCTCTGATGGCAGTTGCCCTTGCGGAAGCCAGCCCAGGAGGGGTCCCGGGGAGCCAGGTCCCAGCCCTGCTCCGAGCCGTCTCGGCGCTGGCTGGGCCCGCAGCTTCCTCGTCGACATCACTCGTGCAGCGCCGGAGGTGGCGCCGTTCGGGGGCCTCGGAGTCTCTCCCTCAGCCTGGACGTGCTCCTGCCTCCTTGAGGCCACGGCAGCAGCAGGCATTCCGACGTTCGCAGCGGTAGTCGTCGCGCCTTCCGCCGTTGGGGCGTCGCCTCGCACCCCAGTCGCAGCAGACACCGCCGCCGCCAGCACGGCCGGCGTCACCGGTGCCGGTGACGCGGATAGTGCCGCCTCCGCAGTCTGTTCCGGACTCGCGCCCAGCCTCGTCCCCTCAGCCTCCGCCTGTGCAGCCCGCGGGGTGGCAGAGGGCGAAACTGAGCCGGCGTCAAAGGCAGCGGCAGAGGCGCCAGCAGACACCAGGATCGCAGGCACTCCAGCAGCCGCGACTCCAGACTCCTCAGCAGCCGCCACCCCGGGCGGCGCAGCCGCCTCCAGCTCAATCTCCGCTCCGTCGGTTTCCTTTGCCCCTCCATCCGCAGAAGCATCGCTCCTCGGTGTACCATGTTCCTCCGTCCCCTCCTCCGCCCGCTCAGGTCCCTCAGTCTGTGTCGGGCCCCTCGTCATTCCATCAGTACTCATTCCAAGGCCCCCCTGTGCAGCACCCATGGATTCCAGTATCGCCTCCTGCCCCGCCGCCCCCTCAAGCCGTGGTTCCTGGTCAGCCTCCAACTCTCGTCGAGCAGCGCGTGATGCACGTGGGGACTTGCTTGACGCTCTTGTCGTACGTGCTAGACCAGCTTCACGTGACTCTGGTGCAGCAGGAGGTGCAGATCGGGGCAATGCAGCCGGCGGCAGTGGCGGCAGCGGAGGAGTTGCAGCATTACCTCCCGCTGATTGGCTTTGTGCCGGGCTCCCCCGGGGCTGCCCTCGGGCCCGGCCCTGGAGCTTTGGCACGGCTTGCCGAGTCTGCCCGGGAGGACCCTCTTGACCTTGTAGCCGCTGCCGCGTCCGTCCTACGCTGGTTGGACGGGCGGCTTTGCTGGATCCTGGTTGAGTAGCTGGTGCCTTCCCTTTACCGGCTGCCTGAGAGGCAGGCCAGGCTTTGGGCTTCCCCATGGCGGTGTAGTCACGCCCGGGGGTGTTGCTGTTGTTGTAGAATGCTACCCCAGCATGTTGTACCTCTTGCTGCTATAGTCCTTGTCGTCCCTTTTCCTTGTCTCCCCTCACGCGCGGCCGAAGGCCGCGCTGGCGAGCGGCGGCCGCCGAAGGCGGTTGGCGCGAGCCGCTGGTTTTGGGGAGTAAACTGAACTCACCAGTGAAGAATGAGCTCAAAAGGGTGCATCTAAGGACTGTATACTAGGGAACTGGGCTGAAAAACGGCTAAGGGTTTAGAGCCCGAGCCGAAAGCGAACGGAGTCTCTCTCTCTCTCTCTCTAATGGTCCGTATATTGATAGGCCAGAAGGGTACACACATGCAATGAGAGACAGCAGGTACTAACACGCAAGGTAACCTAGACTATCCAACCCCACTAAGTCACCTAGAGCTCAAGGAGAGGCTCAAGGACGGTAAAGCAGTCCCCAAGGTACAATTCCTGCCCTATCCCTCCTACAGGCGGGCTCTCTGCAGCCGCTGCCTCTCCTAACTTGATCATGAGACCCACGGATTGGGCCCTCTGCAGTGCAACCGACCACCTCTGTCTGAACTGGTGCAGAAACTTCGCGGCATGATAGGATTTGGAGTCGGCGTTGAAGTATCGCCGAGCCGCCGTGTCCGCAAGGAGTTTCAGGAACACAGGGACCTCCGCACAAGGGCAGCCATAGGTCTCTACCGCGAGGGGGAAGAAGCCCACTGTCTCTGGCAGGTTTTCATAGTGCTTGATCTTTTTATCCGCTTGCTCCCTGGCCGCCCATCCCCTTCCTTTCCTAGCCTCCGGGTCCCTGGTACTAATAGGGTCCGTTACCGTCACATCACACACCCAAACCGCCCCACTGCTCCTGTCCGTCATGGTAAAGTCCGCGGTCTGCTCCTCTATGGGGCAGTACACGTTTGTTTCTCTGTGTACGATGAACCCCGCGTCTTGTGCCATGCTGATGCAAGCGTCGCGGAGCTCATTATGAGTATTCGTACGGTGCTTCCGTGTGCCGCAGCGGAAGAGGTGGTTGGGGAGGCGCGGGTCTGTGATAGCGGTGTGGTCAGTACAGTCACAGTTTTTCGGAGTGGAGAAAGGGAGGCCCAGCCGGAAGCGCACGGCGTTGCTGAAGTGTACCGGCCCCATGCGCCGTGAAGAAGCTACTGGTACCGCCGTGAGCCAGTCTCCTGTGCCGTAGCCAGTCAGTGAGAACATTCTCTGCGTGTGCCCAGACAGAGGATTCAGTCTTATTCGCCTTGTCTCTTGGACCTGAACCGCGTACCGACTCCCCTGCACTTTGAGGGCCAGCATGTGCTGAAGCTTGATGTCTGACCTAGAGAGCCGTTCCTGGTCAACGACGTCGCGTGCATCTGTGGGCAGGGCAGTCTCGCACTCTGTGAGCCAGGAATGGAGCGGTGTGGTGACGTCCCGGGGCAGAATCATGTGGCTGTGTGCTCGGGTCAGTGCTGTGTCTGGTGCTAGCGTCAGGGAGGAAAAGAAGAGCGCGGCTTGTGTGAAACTGGCTACGAAGCCGTAGACCCCTTCCATGAGCGGGTCCGTCACTCCTAAGCCACCCAGGGACGATGGGAGCGAAGCCTGTGCCCACACTCTCGACTGCTCCGTGCTACACGTCGGGACTTTAATCCCGCAGGATGTCAGGAGCGCAGCTAGTAGGTCCCGCCCCCACTGCGCCCAGGTGTCTCGTGGCAGGAGGTTTAGTGGCGTGGTCCTTGTGAGGTATGCGACGCGTCTAGAAATGCAGCGGGTCAGTAGCAGGGAGGCTACTTGGGGGTCGGCGCGTTCTAACAGTGGCAGCGGCTTCGCCATTTCCTCCAGCTGCCCTGCCAGGAACTTGGCCGCACCCGCCGCTGGCCCCAGGAAGCTACCTAGAAGGCGTATCCCGTCCTGAGATAACGGGACTCCTGGCGGTAGCTGAATCTCCTCGTCGCCTCTCGTGCTCCATGCCGCACATTTCTGCGGATTGTGTGTAAGCCCCAGGTGCGCTAACTTGCTCGTGAAGAAATTGAATGCTGCTACAGTGTCTGCGTTGTCCCCCAAAAACGTCACGTCGTCTGCATACGCCAAACAGAGAACGTGGGGGTGGGCATCTGCAGTTTTGCGAAGTGCTGGGTGGATCCCTGCTGCGAACAGTAGAGGACCGAGTGGGTCTCCTTGTCTCACCCCGCGTTCACTGTTCAGTGGGTGGCTGGCGAAATTCGAATCAAGGTACAGCTTCGACGGGTTACCGTACGTTAGCCGCACTAGAGGGAGCAGTGACGAAAGGTTGCTGTCGCAGATCCCGTTGATGATTGCTTTTCGCGAAATGCTGTTAAAAGCATTCGAAATGTCTGTCTGCAACACCACGCAGCGGTCTCTCGAGTCAACGAAGGCACGTGCAACGTGGATGTTCGCTTCGGCCCCCCCAGGTACCGCCACCCCGTACTGTAGAGGCAGGAAATGGTCACGTGCAGCTTCCCCAATTGCGGTCAGGGCAGCCTTGCCTGCGAGGCGCGTAAGGCATTCGCCAATTGCAATTGGCCGAACCCCCCCGCCTGGCTTGGACAGCGCTATTAGGCGCGACGCCGTCAGCAGGTCTGCCACTGGTTCGGGTAATTTGCCTGCCAGGATGGTGTTCACTAGGGCATGTAGGTGGGTGCAGACCGATGCGTTGGTTGCCGATGCGTCGCGAAGGTGTTCGAAGGCGGTTCCGGACGGTCCGGTCCCCACACCATTTTCGCACCGACCCAGAAGCTTGGCGAAATCGGCTTGGCTGATTTGCAGGTTCGGGCCTGGTGTCGTTGGCCAGCTCAGCTGCTCGTCATCGGCTCGGGGGTGTTTCGCGCGGAGTTCTTCCAAAACTGCTGGGCCAGGTGGGCAGACTGGGGTTGACTCGAGGGCCAGCACGGCTCGGCGGAGGCTTCCTCGCTTGGCCAGGCCTTCCGCCCTGCTGAGAACTCCCGCCTCGTCTGGCTGGTGACGTGGAGGCGGTGGGGTGTTGTTGGCTTCGATCGTGTCAGAGTACAGCTGCCCCCATTCGCCACGCTGGAAAGCTCTGAGACGGGCTTTGACTCCGGGCCACTTCGGTCTTCTTGGCGACAGTTGGCGAAGTGTGAGCCGAGGGAGAAACAGCAGCAGTCGCCAGCCTGCGATTGAGTCAGGGTTTCGCGCGAGGTGTAGGAGCGGGGTGAGTAACACCAGCGAAAATAGCTGACACAAATTGGGCGGTAGTCGGCACGACAGGGATGGTTGACGACTGTCGCAAAGTGCCGCCAAGTCCCAGTCATCGATGGCTGCGAACAGGTCTGATCGTTTCGCCAATTCCCCTGGCGAGAAGTAGCGGGGGAAATGTGCTTGGTTTGCGGACGCGCTGCCTGATGTCTCTGCTCGCGCCTTTGTGCGTCGCTCTGTCCAGGAGTTGGGATTGTGGCCGTCCGATTGATCTGTTGCCTGCCTCCTTCCTCGTCCGCCTCATGCTCACCAGCTCGCATCCCAGTTCCTAGCCTCTCTCCTGCATCGTTTGTTTCCTCCTCGTCGTCTTCACTTTGTGGGAGCGGCTCCTCCCTATAAGAAGGGTCCCGTCGTTCCTCCTCCTCATCAGTTCTCTCCAGAACCGTTAAAGCCTGTCTCCCTGCCGCTTGGAAGCCATTCTCCGGTCCACCCCCTGCGCCGCTAGCCGTCACTCTCCCTCTGCCTCGCCCTCCTCGGCCTCGCGATGGTGATTGCTGGGCCGACCGATTATTCGCCAATACACGTTGGCGTTGCGTCGGTTGCGTTCGGAAAGCCACCGCCTGCCTCCGGAACAGGGACCATGCCGACGGGCTCCCCAACGCTGCCTGTTCCGAGGCTCGTGACAGTAGACGCTGAAATCCTTCCTCGCCCCGCACCGTCGTTTCAAGAGGCCTTGGCGTCTCTTCCTGACGATCCGCCTGTTCCCCTCGCGGCGGCGTTTGATGTATCTGCTCCGTCAGTCGTTCCTCGAGCTGCCGACCCTGCTGTTCCGTCAGCGGCCGCCGCGCGGGCGGTTGTTGCTGGCGGCATGACTGACCAGCCGGAGGGGTCCGCCACCACTGACGTCCAGGGCCAGCCGGCGCTTCCCGCCTCTCCGGCTCCCCCGTCTGCGCCGCCTCCGACGCGGGCGCCTCCTCTGCTTGTGCAGGCGGGATCTGTTCCTGCGCTGGCCGTGGCTGTTCCCTCTGCGCCTCCCGCGATTGCGCCCTCTGCACCGTCTGCAGGGGCTCCTCTCGTGCCGCCTGCTGACGCTCCCGTTGCCCGACCGGGTGTTGCTCCGCCTGCTCCGCCCGAGGTGGGTCCGTCTGCGCCGTCTGTGGCCGTTCCTGGTGCGCCACTGGTGGCGAATCCCTCTGCGCCGACCGCGCGGCGTCCGCAGTCTCCTGGCCGTCGTCAGCAGCGGCCGCAATCCCCAGCGCGTCAGGACGTACGCGCGACGTCCCGGCGCCGCCACAATTCTCCGCGGCGCCGCGGTTCTCAGGCGAACTGGGCGGCGCAACGCGGCGGCCGAGGCGGCTGGTGGGGGCCGCGTCAGCGGGATGGCGGCTGGGGGTCTGATCAGCCGGTGACGATGGCTGATCTGCAGCGCGCGGTGTCTGCTGCTGTGCGCGAGGAGCGGAACGGGCAGGCGAGCCAGAGCAACTCCCCGCGTGTTGCTCAGTCCCCCGCGGCACCTCCTCCAGCAGCACCTCCTGCCCTGGCAGCCCCTCGTCCTCCTGCAAACGTTCCTCCTCCACATGTCCCCGTGGCTGCGCATTATCCGTCCGAGCAGCCCGTTGATCCCGCTCCCCCATCCACGGGTGCGGCGTACTCGTTCTCAGCCCTTCTGGGGCCTCAGCGTCCGGTCACGGTTCCGGAGGTGACCCTTGGTCAGATCTGGCGCCTCTCGGAGGCGCTCCGGGTCGTGCATCTGGTGCAGG